CTACTGTTTACTTTTACATTCACCTTGCATTCTCAATCTCTGTATAGGGGAGGCTTAAAGGTAGAGAGAAGCACAGAGCTGTACTTGCATATTGGTTTACATATGATTTCTTATCAAAGCATGGAGTAGTTATAAATGAGATAACTGGAGTATTGTAGGGTTAAAGCTCTCTCAAATTCTCCCATGGTTGACACTACTATTCCTAAACAATATCCGTAAAAATTAACATAACACATTAGTAACATATTTTTATAGTCATTAAAATAAAAATGTTTATGCATCACCTATAATCTTGAATTGTACCAGGAAGTATACATAGCATGCTTTAGAAGCTACTGTTATAGAAGATTTAAGATATGTACAGAAATAGCTGACTTGAGAGAGAAGTGCTAACAGCCATTAATTGCTGTGAGCAAGGTATAAACAAATCACAAAGATTCAATGAGGGAGAAATGAGTTCCAGGAACAAAACATGTATTTATATCACGCACATGCTTACATTGAACAAATATGACAGGGCTTTGGCAAACTCTGCTTCTGTAGACTCTACTGAAAGCCATTATGAATGCTTCCTCGCCTACCTCATTTTATCCCGTAAAACATCTGTTTGTTTGAAAAGAAACCACATACTAACTCTTCAACTAGAAGTTAAAAATCATGACTTTTCTTTCAAGGGGTGGAAGGATGGGGAATAAACATGCCTTCTGCAATTTTACAAAAAAATTCCAATGTTAATTAAAACCATATATTTAGTATGGGTAAAGGTAATAAATGGAGATTTCTTGGACAAAATCATGCTCCTCTGTGAATTCAAATTAGCAATGCTGTGTTACTGGCTGACTTTTGAACATTCTGTTCTATTTGAAACAGCTGAGACAGGAAGGAAGCCTGTACGTCCTACAGAAATCCAATTAGGCTTGATGAAAGAGAGGCCATGAAATGCTTCTCTTGTCTACCAAGACAGAGAAAATGTTGTCTTAGATTTAGCTTTGAAATGATTTCTAAATATAAGCTTTTAGATCAGGCTTTGTCCAGTTAGCTTGGTGAACTTAAGGAAATATTACATTATGCTCTCATAATTGTGGATGTTGGTCCTGCTCAAAATCTTGACAGGTTTCTAGAAAGCTGTTCATTTTTTTGTGCTGGTGATTGCCACAAGAATAAACAGAGGAGATGGCTCTAGCCTTGGACTGATTGACAGAGAACCCGACTTGCCCACTTCCTGCTAACCCTTCCCAACACCAGCAGTGTGGTCATGTTGGATGTGTCAGTGCCTTCTTACAACAGCAACAACATAAGAGAAACCAGTTGCCAACATGGTCTGCTATTCCAACAGTTATTTGTCTGTCAACAGTAATAGAGTCCGAATCTACAACTGAAATTCTAATAGTGATTCTCTCCCAAACTGAGATGTGGATAAATGTTTTCTTGTGGCTTGTCATCATAACCCTATTTTCAAAAGACACTTGAGCATCTTTCTCTCCTCTGAACCCCCAATGTGGTTTATTGGGGCCACCTTTATAGCACTTTGCCCTTTTCTCTTCGGTGCTACAGTTATTTATATGAAGGATTCCTAAGGGTTGGAAATGTTTTTTCTTATTATGCCATTCTCTTGAGCTCCTAGCACAGTGCCTTGGTTTGCATTAGAAATCCAATAAATGTGTGATAAATGCTGTGTTTAGAAAAACAATGACAAAAACATGAATATCCTCCAATTACAACAAAAAGGCAGAGATTTCTGTTTCATTTTGTTCACTGATATGAGTCCCATGCACCTAGAAAGTTCCTGGCACACAGCTGACACTCAATAAATATTTGTTCAATGAATAAGCATTATGACTTTCCAAAGAGCTTGGAGACTATCTCTTTGACTGGTAAATACAGAAAAGGAAATATGTCATACAATGTTTAAAGGAAGATGCAGATAAGTAATTTCTTCATTCACTAGACAAGAGGTTGGCAAACTTTTTCTATAGGGGGCCAGACAGTAAATACTTTAGTTTTTGATGGCCATATGGTTTCTGCAGCAACTATTCAACTCTACTGTTCAGTGCAAAAGCAACCAAAGACAATATGTGAATAAATGAGTGTGGTTGTATTCTAATAAAACTTTATTTACAAAAATGGTGGCAGGCAAGATTTGACCCATGACCAGTTTGCCAACCTCTGCTCTAGAACACATGTGCACTAATTATCTGTTAGAATTAAGATGACTAGGTAACTATTCTTTTAAGACCATGCTTTCTGCCTCTTTATACATTTATTCCCCACCTCCACACCCACAGGTACTGTGTTTTGCAATATGGTGCCTGTACCGTATATGTTTGTTGCATTAAACTTGAGTCATACGCTGATTTCCTGGAACTGTAGTTTTCAGTAGAACCAGTTAACTCAAGTCCCTGTAATTTGCCTTTTCCTTGAATTCTGTCTTAGCGAATGAAAGGAAAGTTAATAGCTGTCAAAACAATGTCTTCTGAAACTGTTGGAGTAAGGAGCACATGCTCTCTTGGGTTCCTATTTCTCTTATTTGAAGCGTTTTTTTCAGGATATCAGTGATTTTTTCAGAGATGGCTCTTCTGAGTATCCACAAGACAAGAAATGATGAACACAACTTTCTCACTACTCATTTAAGCTCACTGTTCTTTTAAGCTCACTGTTCTTTTAAAGCTTCCCCCTCTCAGTCTTTTTTAAACACTTATTTTCACGAAAGGAAAATGAGAAAATGACCATGGGTATTTACAACTGGCAGAAATGTGTTCTTATATTTTCCTCTCCAGTGACTACCAAAAATGCTATATTCCTGTGAGTTTTATGTTAAATGACTACATTATTTCAGGCCAGGAATCTGTGACATATGGTGATAGTCTATATATTCACTACTGAAATGTATCAGTTTCAAAATATTTAAGTAGTATCAATGTGGAAGAACGCTGTCATAAAATGTGCTCTGCACCTCTATCCTATACTCACACTATCTATTTGCAAAATTTTCAAACTTATTTTTCATTTTGCTAAGTGCTGGCCTCTCTTATGAACTAGGCCGGATTCCCTCTTCAGCTGCAAATGTAATTTTAAACAGAACTCCAATGAGATTACTTGCTGAACATGTTAAACATTCATAGCTTGGCCATATGCTGTTATGGAAATTGCATTGATTTATAGCAATTTGGGTGCCACTAGATAGCACTAATTCACCTGATACCAACTCTAAGTGTACTGGGAAATAATGTTTTAAATGTTTCATTTGCATCTAGACCTCTGTTGAACTACGAGCATGTATTATGTTTATGTATTTTTGGAGAACACTGATTTTTGCATATTGAAAATATATTCCTCTATTCCTGTATTTGGTGACTTCTAGAAAAAACTAGGTATATGAGGTCTGAATTTATACCATAACGGCACAATGGTCAATGACGTAAATTACTAAAGTCAGGCAGATTAAGTTTTAATCCCAATTCAAGCATTTAATTACTCTAAAACCTTGGTTCTTTCAATGGTAAAAGAGGAAAAATAATCATGCCTACCTGAGAGAACTGCTGTGAATATTAAATAGGATAATGTATATAAGGCTTGTAACACCTACAAAAAGAGAAATGTCTTGTGGTTTGTTCTAAAATATACTCAATAATCATTAGCTCTCATACCCTAAACTTAGTATTTCTGGCACAGGTTAGCAGCACTCCTTTAAACTGTACAGAAATGCTTGAGTTTATGGGACCTGACTGGGAAGGTTGGAAGACGATTTAGGGAACTTAAAAATTGCCATATGAGAAAAGGTCACTACTACAGTGAATATGCCAACCTATTTAAAAGAAAAAAGTAAAAAGGAACAAAGTCACAGGATGCTCTCTTCACACTAAGTATATTGATAACCTGTCTTAATTGCATTAATTTTTATTTGGAAGGGAGGAAGTATAGTGCCTGTTTTAAACATGCTAAGAAGGACTTACGGAAATGAACATTGTCTTTCTATCCACTGAGCATTCTATCCAATTACATTCAGACAGATGCTTCTTAGAAATAATTATATTTTGCTATAATAAGTGAATATATACAGTGTAATGAATATTCATATATATTCAAGTTTGTAAGAATATAAAAAAGCCAGAAAACCTTTAGCTTTTTCTTTAATTGACCTGGAGTGCACATTTGAATATAGATGGATTCTTTCTGGGTCAGCATTCTCAACAGGGGGCATCTTTGCCCTCCAGGGGACATTTGGCAATGTCAGGAGACGATTTTGGATGTTATAACTTGAGATGAGAGATGTTACTGGCATCTAGTGAGTACATTTTAGGGATGCAACTAAATATACTGCAATGCCTAAGACTGCCTTGACAAAAGGAATTATCTGGCTCCAAATATCGCTAATGCCAAGGTTGAGAAACCCTGCTCTAAACTAAGAGCTGCTCAAGGTCAAATGAATTTAAATCACCCATATCCCAGATGGATACTGGGTAGGCTCTAGAGAATGCATGCTTTTTGTTAATATGGTTAAATCTTCCCAGTATACTGTGCTGGCTCCATGGTAATAAACCAAAAGCTGAAGTATTAATAGGGAGTTCACAGCCTTGAGAAGAAAATGACTAGAATTCCAAAGTATGCTATATGATCTGTCCTACTGCAGACTTCAGTATGGACAGCAGCCAGACTTATACCTAGAAGAAGGTGATCATCACACTAAGATTTTGCCCAATCAAGTGACCAGGGGTTTCTTGGCTCAGGATTTCTTAAACAGCACCAGTTCTCATGAACAAATAACATATCAAGCAGTGATGGCTTAGACTTAAGGCTTAGTTCCCAGACAAAATGTGATAAGCACAAACTTTGGATTTATATTCTCTATTTCCACAGAATTAAAAATCTATTTAATATATCAATGAAAATATATTCTTTCACAAGTGCCCTTACACAAATACTGCAGAGGCTGCTTAAGAGGTTGTAGCCTTAAACATGGATACTACTTAAAGACTAAAAATGTATATAAAGAACATTACTTTGAAACTTTTGGTTCTGTACTTGGTGTCATCTCGGTGATGCTGAAGAGCATTTCTGCGAACACTGTATTTAGAATATCTTCCATCAATTCTCTCAGATGAACTGCAGGAATCCTGGAAAAAACACAAAGGGTCTGAACTGGTAGATAAAAGAAAATTAGTGCTTGAAATTAGAAGAAGAAAGAGTTTACACATAGATAAAAATGATAATAAATAATTACAAGAATTTATAGATATATAGAAGAATCATGGATGATCATCGAGAAAGAAGGAGGCTACACGCAGTGGCTCGCACCTGTAATCCAGCACTTTAGGAGGCCGAGCTGGGAGGATCGCTCTAGTCCAGGAGTTTGAGATCAGCCTAAGCAACATGGTGAAATCTCACCTCTATAAAAAATAGAAAAATTAGCTAGATGTGGTGGTGCATGCCTGTAGTCCCGGCTACTCAGGGGGCTCAGGTGGGGGGATTGCTAGAGCCCAGGTGGCAGAGGTAGCAGTGAGATTGTGCTACTGCACTCCAGCCTGAGTGATAAAATGACAGAATGAGGCTCTGTGTTAAAAACAAAAAACAATAGAAAAAGAAGAAAATTGTTACTATGGATAAACCCATAAAAAATACAATGTATCCCACAATGGTTACCTGAATTTTTGAAACAACTAGTCCCTATGCCATTCTATAGTGACTGATACCCTTTAGAACAAGGTTCAAGAAGCAATGTGCTATCCAAAGGTGTCACTGTTGATACATGCCACATTTGGATGCTGTGTACTATCCCTTGGATTGGTACTTGGCATCGATATATTCTTGTTTTTAAAAATTGTTACCTGTAAAACTAGAGCCCTTTTACTTCACTTATCCATAAATAACATCCTATCTTTTAACTATTATGTCACATAGATTTTTAAACTTAAGGATAGCTCCCTTGCCTTTATAAGCATAAAAAGATTCAGGTAATAACAAAAATTAAGAAAACAAAATTTTCTAGGGCTTGCCTTTCTTTTCTCTTCATTTCTTGCAGGAAGAAGGAACACAGCAAACAGTTGCTCTATAGACAATTATTTAGACATTTCTATTATTATTTAGGGAGAAATTAGAAAAAGAAAAAGGACAACTGATTTTGGCATGTAAAAAAAAAACAAAAAACAAAAAACAAAAAACATATATGGGATTTAGTGTCCCTCAAAGTCCCAAAAAACCTTAAACTTATTCAAGCTAGAAGGGGTATTATAATTCTGAAGTTCTCATGCTTAGTACAAAAACAACACAATTCAAAAACCTCTAAAAAACTAGAGCTCAGGGAAGTTAAGAATGATTTGCCCAGGGCTGGACAATTTGTGGCAGATTAGGCTTGGAACCTAGTGCTATTCCCTTTCCACCTTATCAAAAATATACTGTTTAAATATGAAATTGTAGAGCTGAAATAATTTTTTTTTTTTTTTAGATGGAGTTTTGCTCCTGTTGCCCAGGCTGGAGTGCAATGGCATGATCTCAGCTCAATGCAACCCCCGCCTCCCGAATTTAAGCAATTCTCCTGTCCCAGCCTCCCAATTAGCTGGGATTACAGGCATGTGTCACCACTCCCAGCTAATTTTGTATTTTTAGTAGACACAGTTTCTCCATGCTGGTCAGGCTGGTGTCGAACTCCTGACCTCAGGTGGTTCGCACACCTTGGCCTCCCAAAGTGCTAGGATTACAGGTGTGAGCCACCATGCCTGGCCAATCATTCTTTCAAAATGAATATGACCACATTTAAACAAGAATAAAGTCAGGCCTATCTAAATAGGATAAGGTCTGTACTCACATTTAAGTCATAGGCTATGGTACTATCGAGAAATACGTATACAGGAACCCAGAGATAATATTATTCAAGTGCCTCACATGAATGTGGTCATATCTCCTGAGACATTAAGTGACTTTTGTCTGGTGCATGAATTTGGACAAGAACTTAGGTCTTTGCATTCCTGTTCACACCACACTGATTTTTCGAATGTTTAAAGGGTTTGAATAAATATAATCTACATCTAATAATCTCAAGGCTTTATGTATTTTCATTTAAGGCTATGTCTAGTCATTTTTATTAAGTTGATTAAAATCAGCTCTTTTAAATCACATAGAGAGCTTTAGAATACAGGTAGAATGGATTTTAAGCTAAAAGCAGCAGGGCGAAGCAGATGGGCTGTGCTACTTTGCACAGAATTAGATCCCACCTCCAGTTAGTTTATGGGCTCCAAGCTTCAGTGTCCTCATCTATAAAATGGGCAAAAATAACACCCATCTATAGGGTATCTGGAAGACTAGGAAACATGTACCATAAAGTACTTAGCACCTGCTAAGTATTATGCAGTGAGTGCATGACACTTGCTAATTAACTTTTCCTTTTCAAGCTAAAGGTTTCAATTTTAATGTATTGGAAAGTACAATGCTGAAGTCTGAAAAAGATTCTCCCCAAAAACGTCACTAGGCATCTTAATATGTGAATCTGTATGTACATGAGCTAGACTTGTAGACCATCACTAGCTCATGGGATTAAAAATAATAATAACTAGCCTTTTGGTAATAGTAGAGAATACAATTTTTAACTTTTACTTACAAACATTCTGTTCGATGTAGACAACTGGGGAAAAAGTGATCTGTTTCTGGAGGTTAAACTATATTTTTATAGTGGTATAAGACAGGTTTCTATTTCTCAGTGACAAGTGCCACCTGTTTCCCATTCTTTCTCTTGTCTGCCCTTCATTTACTTAGAGAATTTCCGTTAGTTAGAAGAGAAAAAAAAAAAGACTACAGGCATAACATATTGCCGGTTATCACATCAGGTTGTTTAAGAGTAAAGAGAAATTGCATTGTTTTGGACATGGTTTCATAATTCTTTGATAGCTATTTAAACTGCAAATATATAATCAAATCATGAGAAAGAATCACAACTTTAGGGAAATATATTTTAAACACTTGGTTTTGTTCAATTTGGGATGGTCTAGCTTACCAGAGGTGTCAGCTAAACTGGATCTCTCTAAAAAATGTTAGTTACTGAACTAGCAAAAGATGCTTAATGTAAGGTAATTTTAAGATAGTGAAGACCTTGGAACCCCATCATATCAGGGCTTCCAATAAACCAATATGGCATGATCTAGTTATTTTCCTGTACACTGTATCTTCGAATAATATGTCAGATCTAAACAGAACCTAAATATAACATGAGTTATATTTTAAGGGCAGTGTGAAATACGATTACATGGTTGCCTAAAAGAAATCCTCCCATTGTTTGTTTCAGCTATGCGAGGTCAATAAATGATAAATCATGAAAATTTTACATTATATATGCAGCCCTAAGGGTATATGTGATGTTCTCTGGACCAGATCTTGTCTGGCAGGACTGGCAGCAGAAATATTTGTTTTGCATATCTCCTCTATGAGGAATTTTAAAAATCACACAAGGTAAATTAACACATGTAACTAATTAGCTTGATAATGAAATGCTTTGTGGTTAGAGTTCTATCAATAAACGGCCATGAATTATGAAATGTAAAACTTCACGTGGATTTGAATTCATGTGTCATAGTATAAAGATAACCTGTGAACTACCGTATCTCTAAAACAAACAGTACCCAAATAATTCCCAAATTAAAATGCTAATCAAAAAAGTTGTCTATTGACAGTATAATGGCGTAACTCCCTCTAATTTTTAGGCTTTTCTAAATTATTGTTAAAGCTTTATGGGACCAACTAAGCTTTTAGTAGTACAGTAAAAGTCTCTATTTTCCTATCTTGTGCTAATATGTTTCACTGTTTTCAATTCTAACTTCACAAATGTCAATATACTCTGATAAGATGGTATGCTAAAAGTTCCCAATGTTTTTTCATCCTTCTTTCTCCTCTATACTTTTCTTTGCACATCAGGAAGATGTCAAGTGTTCTCACTCAGATAAAAATACTGAAAGAGACAAGCCAACTCTTTCTCACTCTGAAGTCTTTGAAATCTTCTAGTAGGCTCAGTTTCTCGGGCACAGACTCCAGATGGTCCAAGGCCACTCGGGTACTCTGAAATAGAAAACATAAGGAAACCAAACATTATAAAAAATGTATTAATACTCTCAGAATCCACATACTAAAGATCAGATGCACCACTGGAAGAAGCAGTTCAAGCTGTAGATTTAAGACAGTCAAATAAGAACAGATATAATAGTATTTCCAAGATAAATGTATCTTTTGAAATCAGAACTATTTCATTTCAAAAAGTATATGAGATGCATTTGCAAGACTGACTCAGATACAAAAACTCTTCCTGGATAATTGATTTCAACTGATATGCTGTGAAACTTTCAATAGAGCATTTCATATTAATATTAATTTACAAACCTGCTTCAGTGAACATCAGAAATAAACCACAAGCTAATACTGAGAAATAGATGAATTTGCAGTTACTTATCTATGGAGCATATTAGAGATTCTCAAATGTTGCCGTTATAAAGAAGAAAAGAGTTCTCAGCAATTATTTCAGTTAAAAGGGAAAGAGGAATGGTTCTCAAGATTTGGGAGAAATATCTGAAATTAAACATTTGCTACAGGGACACAATATCCTAAGTCACAACACAACATCATAAGTCACAACATCATAAGTCAATAACTTATTATATAGTCTTTAATGAGCTAATCACTGTTTCACCCACCTGTGAACATTGAGAGAATGATATGAACATTATTTCAAAGCAAACATGAAATAAAAGGGTAAATGGTAAAATACCCTTCAGACCAGAGACTGCATATATGTCACAGGCATCTCTGTATTCTCAGTCCTGTCACAATGCCAGACATCTTAGGCAGGCAACAGGTGCTAGCTCTTAAATTTAAAACAGAGTTTAGCTGTTCAACAATAAACCCTACGGCTGGTGCATGGGAAGAAAGTGAAGTGTCCTGCAAGAACCTGGACATAAATTTGCACAAAGTTGTAGGGAAGTTGGTTGCCACTCAATATTCCATACGCTTCCCTACTTCTTCCCTGTGAAAGGTTCTGAACAATGGACTCTGAGAGTGCTCACTTCTGGAATGAGACAGAAGAACCTGTGTGTTCCCCCTTCTATCCCAGCCCCTGCCACGAAGCCACTTGCTCCAGAAGGCATAACTACCAGATTAAGATGAGAGCTGCCCACCAGACTGGACTTCACATGAGTCATGAAATAACCTGTATTGTGTTAGCCGTAAGATTTTAGGGTTTGTTAGTTACCAGTGCATCATATAGCATTAAATACCACAAATAATACTTACTCTGAGAATTAAATAATGAAATTGTAAGATAAATAAGTAGTCAACTGGCTCATTTTGTAGAATAGGGAATCTTTCAATTACGAGTATGTTAAGATTTTTTTTTTCTTTTTCTGAGACAGGGTCTTGCTCTGTTGTCCAGGCTGGAGTGCAGAGGCACATTCATAGCTCACTGCAGTCTCGACCTCCTGGGCTCAAGGGATCCTCTGACCTCAGCCTCTGAGGATCTAGGATTACAGACACACACACTACCACATCCAGCTAATTTTTCTATATTTTTTTCTCTGGAGGAGTTGATTATTTTCTCAGTTAACTTTCCTATTTGAAATCTTCTATCTCCCTGAATAGGGAGATGCTGTTCTCTGGTTGGCATACCCAATCCAGAGCCTCACTGATGTAGTTTCCCCCAGAACGTATACTTTATGTCTTTCACAGGGTTCAGGGGTAGGGGCAGGTATGGAGACAGAGGGCTGAGGGTTTAACTCTTTCTTACAGACACTTTCAGTTTACCCATCCACCCACTCCTTCCACAGTAATTGAGCTAATTACTCCAGTGCAAAAGCCTTTCCAGAAGTTTGCAGGGCGAATGGTATTCTATTGCTTTCTATCGATATCCCATTGGCAGGTCCTTGATTTTCACCTTTTCTGTTCCAAGTCATTTTACCACTTTCCAGTGTTCTGTGAGTTGGAGTAATAGATATCTTCTAGTTTTGACATGTGTCAATCAGTTTTTCTATTTCTTCTTATCCTTACTTTTGTAATGAGATTTTTGAGAAGGGCAGAAACACCTTCACTTTGCCATTCTGAAAAGGAAGTCTATGTGCTGTTTCTTCAAGTTCATAAAGTCTTCTTTTTCAGGGTCCATTGAAAGGATTTAGTATTTTGTTCCTTCTGCTTAACATTTATATTATTGTTAATCTTTAGGCCTCATGTGCTCACTTACACTACCATGTGTTTTAAACAACTCCACTTAATGTTTTCACGTGTAGGAAAGATTCATCAAAATGATGTGTTTGTTACTATCTGCCACAACATGCAGGCTTAGGAGCAGGCAGTTTTAGCCACCGTATATGCTATATTCATTTAAATAATAAAATTAGAGGTTTTCTCAGGAATTATATTTACTCCTGAACAATAAAATATAAAGCAATGCCCTGATGATTTTAAAGCAAAATTTTATGCATTGCATAAAATCTTCTTCATAGACACATTCCAGTGGTACCTGAAGTATTAAAACTTTACTTCCTTTTTTTATCCCATAATTTTTCTCATTTAGAAGTGATCTTCTGAACCCAGGTTAAGTAAGTAGGTAAAACTCATTTTGTGCTCAAAATAAGCAAATGATCGCCTGTCCTACTGTAAAATGCAGCATGTTATGTAAATCGTTCTGCTTAACATTTTCAATCAACCAGGTGACTACATGAAACCATCCCTTTCCTTGCATGTGTTTACATACTGTTTTTTGACGGTGATGTTTTTGGACGTATATTCAAGTGGCTATGTTTTTGTGAGTGATTTTTGAAAAAGTCCTTGACTCCTTCTTTTCTCAGTGCAGTTATTTTTATTCTCGCCTCTCCTGCCACGTGCCCCCTCCAACTCCCATATCTCCATTAACTGATCTTTATACTTTCTATTTATTTCACTTGTGGCTCAATTTATGTTCCATGTATGCATTGATTCTGAATACCTTCCTCAGTATCAGAAACTCTTTCTGGTACGCCTACCTTTCTTTTTATGCTTATATTCTAGCCAATTAACAACAAACATGTATTTTGGATATCATAGAAAGATCCACAAACATAGATGGCATACTTTCTGCTTGTCAGGAGCATTTAACTTACCCAGGGGAGCAAAAGATTTAATAATTATACAAAGAAAAAAGTTATTTGTACTTATTTTAAGGGACTTGCATGCACAAATGCTGAACTATTTAGGGCATTTACAAGAAGAAGATGTGAAGAAACGAAGACAATGAGTCCAAGCATACGGGCATCTCAGGTCTCATAATTTCATGGCTAAGTTATATTTTTGGGAAAAAATGTATTTTTGGCTCTTCTCTCTCTCCCTCTCTGCATGTATGTGAGTGTACTTAAAACTGCCACTTTGACATACAGACTCAAGAACATGAATAACATTACAACTTTTTTTTTTTTTAAGATTGGTTGGAATTCCGTGATTAGAATCTTGTCACATTACTGGAGATTTCAAAATTACTTACATTCCAAAACTCATAGCCAGAGAGACAAGATCCATTAGCAGATTAATAGTTTAAGAAACTTGCTGTATTTCAGAGATGGCGTAAGGACCTATATCATGTTAATTTCCAGGGTGAAATACTTTGTGCAAAGTCAGGGAAACCTTTTATTTTTTATGTTGATTAATTTTTTTCTACCTTAAATTACATAATGCTTTAAAGGCATGGACAAGACCCTACTGTTAGAAAATTAAGGGAGCAAAGTTTATTTCAATAATGTCACCAGCAAACTGAAACGTGCTTGTCTTTAATTTTCATTATTCTCTAGAATAAAAAAATCAGATGCTTAAAAAGGGGTTTAAAATTAGTAAACAAAGAAAAGTTCACAATTAAGATTTCACTTCATAAAGGGCCTGTACATTGTGTATATTTGGTTTATCTCAGAGGCTAGAAGAGCTGGACTTCCATGGGTCTAGGAGTAGGATCAAAGCAGACGATCAGTTAATCTTAGTCCACTTTAGTAGCAAAATGAAAGACTGAACCATAAACACATAATTCAATTTTGAATGCACTTCATGACCCTTATACTACCTACCATACTAGATATGTATGTATTACTTTTCTCATCATTATACAGATGAGGTAACTGAGGACTGGACAGTGTACATAACCTCCTTGCAGTCAAGTGGTGGCAAAACTGATATGCAAATCCAAGTAATCCGAATGCAGAAATGGGAAGATTCTTATTACAAAAATATTTTCATGGCAAATCGCCAGCTAAAAAGGAGGATGTAGAAGCTGTAATAGTGAGTGCTTTATGTAAATTCCTAACCTCCCTCTAGCTATCACTCTCAGCAGCTAGATTTTGAAGATGTGTCCTTGATAGGCTTATTTCTGGAAGAAAAGTTTTAAGATGAAATCATAAAGAATGTCATACCACCGGCACTAAAGAGTCTGTACTCAGGACCATGTGTTCAAACACACACACATACACACACACATACATACACACACACACACACACACACGTCACACACACGAGTGGGTTCTGGATAGTCTTTCTGTTGATTAGAGGATGTTAAATGTCAGAGGAGTTTTATGATATATCACTGACTTTTCTTTTTTCATAACATTTAACACTAGTGACACATAATACTTGGACCCCAAAAGGTGTTTCAAATAAATGTGTGGCTGAACACAGAAAAGGTAGACTTACCATATTCTAATGAATCTTGACCTCTTTATTAAAAACCCAGAAGCACAAGTTTGATGTTTTATGTATTTTCTCTAGACTAAGGGCAAGATCAAGTGATAGAAGCAATAGTGAAATTCAGAAATCTTGTCTAATAGGCCCTTTGGCTTTTGTGCCTACAGATATACTTGGCTCTCTGTTGACAGAGCAAAGAGGAAGCTGTCAGTTAACCATTCTAAAATCTTCAACAAACACCAAACTCCAGTATAGACAGAGTTCAGCCATCTGTACTGTTCCACAGTACATTTTTCCTTAGTAGTTCCTTTATTTTTGACTGCAGGGAAAACTGAATAATATAGTATGACAACATAAGTAGCAGTAATTAGGAATTAA